TGTCACGGAGATTCTGCACCTTTTGAACAGCAGGACTGGCCCTTTCATGTGTTCCAACCATTCGCAGATGATACAGATTTTGGGGTGAGCCAATTCAGAGCCCTGTATCTGGGCATGGTGGTAGCTGAGCTGGTCAGCTTGCCTGCTCTACCTTATCTACACAACCAAGGCAAGGTCTCCAGCACTGCTCCACCTAGGCCACCCAATGCTGCCATCAGCAGTAGGCAGGGTCAGCTTTCCTCCTCTCATGACCCTGGGGCTGGCCCACCCACACCCAATGCCTCCAGAACCAGCTCCACTGTGCTGCCCAGTCAAGGTATGGGTCCCACTGTCCCAGGTGCTACAGTTTGTGAGGGGCAGGGCCAGTTCTGTGCCTCTCATGACCCCCAGGGCCAGCTCTCTTGAGCTCTGGCTCTTGGGACCAGCTCAGCCCTCTACTGTGCTGCTCAGAGGAGATGCAGTGTGGGCTGTCCTGAGTGCTACAGGCTGAGAAGGGTCGCTCTCTTGGCTGCCTCAGGTGGTGAGAGGGCAGAGGACAATCTCCTCTTCTCCTTCCCTCCAGGGCACCTCACAGCAGAGCGGTGGAAGGGCCAGCATTCCTGACCTGTAGCAGTCAGGGGCAAGGATTGGGAAGGCATAAGCCTGCTCCCATGCCACCTCATGGCAGACAAGTGGTGGGGCCAGCTCTCCCATGTTCTCACCCTTGGGGCTGACTCACCTGTGCCCCTGCCATCAGAGTCAGCTCTGCTGTGCTATCCAGGTGAGGTACAGGCCCTGCTCTCCTGAGTGCTGCAGCTGGTGAGGGGCAGGGCTAGCCCTCCAGAACTCATCCTGTGGGCAGCTTTCCTGACTGCTATGGAGGTGGGGGACAGTCTCCTGCGCCAGTGCCACCTCATGGCAGATGACTAGTGGGGTCAGCTTTTCCGTACTCACACCGGTCCACCCCTTTACCCCAGGGTCAGCTCTACCGTGCTGTCTGGGTGAGCTGCTTGGCTTGCTCTCCCAAGTGCTGCCAATGGTGAGAGATGGGGCCAACTCTCCAGAGTGCTGCATCCAGTGAGGGGTGGGCCCAGTTATACACAGTTCTTAGACACCCATCTGGCCCCGCACACCCTGACCAGGGATGTCTCCATGTTCTCTAATGGTAATATGAGCCATGAACATCAACCCCTGCCACTGGATAGCTGTGGACTGAGACATGGCCCTCAGCAGCTGTTCATGCTGGAACCTTACCATGGTCTCAGGTGCTGGGGCTACCTTCTTAGAGCAGGCTATTCCTCTTCACGCTTGAGTCTCCAGTTCCATCTCTCTTCATAATGTTCAAGCTACTTCACCTCTCTCTTTCATCTGACCACCGCATAGTTGTTCATTGTGATGGCTTGAGCTGGAGGCTGGCTACATGGTTGGCAGGTCCTTGGGTGACATCCTCCATCAGTGCTACATGTCATGGTGGCCTATGACCCTTCTGTGACATTCAGTGCCCTAGAGGGCAGCTCTTTGGGTGGCATGGAGGTCCTCAGGTCTCTGTCTTCTTCCTCGCTGCACTGCCTGAATTTGACTTGCTTTGATTTTTATGAATCCTAGGCATAAGACAGCTATGGCCAACAAGTCAGGCATCAGGCTAAAATGTACAATGGACTGCCATCTGCTCTGAACCTTACTGATATAAGAGCAATACCATCAACAAAGGTGTTTGCCCATTTGTTGGATGTGCTTAAATATTTTTTTAAAATATGTGCACATGTGAGTACCTTACAGAGGCCAGAAGAGGGCTTGGATCCCTTTGGAGTTGGAGTTAAAAGCATTTGGAAGCTGCTCATGTTGATGCTGGGAACTGAACTCTGGTCTTTTATAGGTGCAGTGTACACTCTTAACTACTGAGCATCTTTTTAGTTTCAACCCTGAAGTTATGTGCTTTTAAAATTAGGGAAAGGTGAGAGCCACCATTGGCCACTGCCTTCCTGGTCATGTGCTCACTTCAGCAGAGCTGGGCTGGGCTTGAGGATATGGATCTCTAACAAGCTTCCAGACAGATGCTGATGCCATTGGTCCAGTGACACTCTTCAGAGTGATTGGCTTGGGACCAGATTACAAGAAAAACACAAGGTGTAGCATGCTAGCTACCCTTCGGGCAGGTGAGAGCCACACACCAAATAGCATGTGGGAAGTGGGCCTGACCAGGAAGAGCAGCTTTATATCTCTAACCTTAACGGATGTCAGACATGCGTTTAATGGGTCCACGATGATGGAATTGCCCACATTAATGTGTGCATATATGCGTATGCAATATCTAATTATTTATCTTGTTAGTGAGAGGGTCTTACAAAGCTAAGCTGGCCTCAATTTGATATGAGCTGAAGATGACCTTGAACTCCTACCTCTACCCCCCAAGTGCTGGGATTACAGGCATGTGCCACAGCCTGGCTTAGTAAGTTATTATTTTTGTCTTTAAAAGTGAAGTGTAGAAGCTGGAGAGATGGCTCAGTGGGTCAGAGCACTTCCTCTTCTTGATCAGATTTGGTTCCTAGTATCCACAGTGGACTGTTTACAACCCCTAGTAACTTCGGCTCCAGCTGGTCTGATTGTCTTCTTCTACACAGCTGGTCTGATTGTCTTCTTCTAGACACTGTGGGCACTCATACACACTTAGCATATATTCATGACACAAATACAGGCACATAAAAGAAAAAAAAATCTTGTGAAGTATGTGTGATTGAATTTTCACATACTGAGAAATTCCCCAGGTAAGGAGAACCTTGTCTCCTCTCCCTGAGAGCTGTAGTTATGCCCTACTCGGAGGTTTCCAACCTGGATATGGGTAGTTGGTGCTTGAATACACATCCAGGAGCCGATTTCAGCACAATAGACTAAAGTGGTCTCAATTGCAATCCCTTTCTCCCCCCCCCCCCTTTTTGTCTGTCAATAAAAATACCTGGATTTGGGAGGATTGTATGAGTCTCAACCTTTTGCTGTGTGGTTTATTTATATTATTACTATTATCATGTATGTATATGTGTGCAGTGTGTTTCTGTATGTGTTGGCATGTGCTAAAGAATACATGTATGTGGAGGCTGGAGTTTAATGTTGTGTGTGTCCCTTGATTGCTCTCTACCTTAATGGTACTCTTACTGAAATGTTGGGCTATTCTGACTTCAGGGATTCACTGTCTCCTCCCATGCACAGTGATTGTAGGTGCACCACCTTGCCCACCTGGCGTTTGTTTTTAAGTGTGTGTGTGTGTGTGTGTGCATGCACATGTGTACTGGGGTCCCTGTGGATCCCAGAAAAGAGTGTTGATTTTTTGTAACTGGAGTTACAGGTGGTTGTGAGCATTTTGATGTCGGGTGCTGGGAACTGAACTCAGATCCTGAGCAAGAGTGGGTAAGTGCTCTTAATGGATAAGCATCTCTTTAGCCTTTGCTACCTGTCTTTTCGCCTGGGTTCTGGGGATTTGAACTCTGGTCCTCACATGTGGCACAACTGTTTGCCTGTGGAGCTTTCTTCCACCTTGTTTTTGAACAGCTGATAAACACAGATCCCATCTTTATAGAAACTGGGCCAAAGAACTGTTGTCTTTAGTAAACTTTCTTTTTTTTTTTTCTTAGTACTAAGGATTGAACCTAGGATGAGTATCTATGTGTGGCAAGTGCACTACTACTGAGCTATATCGTCATCTCTTATGATTTTTATTTTTAAGTTAACGCTTTTGTTGCACTTGAACTTCTCCACTTCTGTATGTGTATCATCATCTGGACTTGTCAGGAGCTCCATGGCTGACACCATGGCTTCTCTCTTATAGTTCACACTGCTTGCAATCTATTAGTCAGTGTGGAGTTTACAAAGGCAGAAGTAGATGGTAAAAGTGAGAATTACAGCACTGGCCCGATGCAGATGGCTAGGCAAAAAGTAAGTAAAAGCAGGCAGACATTGGTGCAGTCTGACCAGTAAAGTGCTGGGGAAGGTGACCGTTACTTCTGTTGTTTCTGCTGTACATTGAGGAACCAATGAATATTTGATGATGGAGGCAGGAGAAACCACAGTGGACCTTGGCAAGAGAAGAGGAGAATTACTTGTTTGGTCTGGGATTTGGAAAATAATATATTTGGCCTTGAGGTTACTCTTGCAGCATTTTATCTCTTTAAGGGAAGAATTTTAAAATTATACCCTAAGTTCAGCTTTAAACACAGTTTCTCATCCTGAGCAGATTACAGCTTTGCAGAGGCCCAGGCAAGTTTGCTGAGGGATTGTGGAGGTTACTTTGATGAACTTGGTGTCCGGTTTTTGGCTGACTGAGTGGAGCCCAGTAGATAAGATTAGCTTCTACCTTAGTGTTGTTCTTGCACAGTTCTGTGCCTTCCACCAGTCTCTTTAATGTGGCCTGTAACAGTGTGTTAGAAGGACACATAGTGTGTCTGGATCCTTAAGCTCTGCACAGAGATGAGTGTGCAAGTGGGTGGGTCCAGGAGGGAGGTGGGCCCAGACTCAGTGGGGAGTCCTGTCTTCAGGGAGTGTCAGAGCTGCAAGATTTGGGAGCAGCAGCTGGGAAAGGTTCCCTGCATTAAGATAATGACCTTGTTTGCTGTTCCAAATGGAGCCCCTGTTCCCAATTAGCATATCTTGGCTAAGTGATGGCGAGGCCAACACTGGAATAACAGGGAAGGCTGAGGAGCAGTGCAGGCTTGTCTGCAGTAGTTTGTTGGTGTGAGCCAGGAAGTTATTCAGAAAGTGGAAAGCCTTAGGTTTGAACCTGTATGTGCTTATGACAAATAAACTATTAAAGGCTTTCTGATACCCAGATCAGTGGGTCTTAACACAGCTTTGAACTTTGTGGAAAGAGTAATATCAAATAAAAAGTTGGGGCTGAAACAAAAATAGTGTCAATCACTTTTTGTTTCTGAACTTAGTGAAATTTCTCACAATTCAGTAAAGAAATATATTTCCATGAGTAAAAATCATATACATGCATCATTTTGTATCTGTCCACTTGCACTGCTTTTTAGGAGGTGTGATTGCCTACATCAGTTCCTCCAGCTCTGCCTCCAGCCCTGCCTCCTGTCACAGCGAGGGCTCTGAGAACAGTTTCCAGTCCTCGTCCTCATCAGTTCCATCTTCTCCAAATAGCTCCAACTCTGATGCCAACGGCAATCCCAAGAACAGTGATATCTCTACCATCGATGGTGTCCTGAAGAGCGACCGCACAGATTGTCCTGTGAAAACAGGCAAACCCAGTGCTCCTGGCATGACCAAGAGTCACAGCGGAATGACAAGTAAGTCTGTTAGCAATTTAATGTTGTTGTAACTAGTGCAGATGAATTTTATATCCAGGCTTTTCATTGGATGCCACTCTACTTTAGTCTCCCTTTGATAACCATGCTCTGATTAGGCAAAACATCAGTGATGCTTTTAGAAATTTCTGCCAGGGGCTGGCTGTTATGTGGTTCTACATGGCCCAATCATGTTTCTTCTTCCCTTTACCACACACTTCCAGGGGCTTCTCTGCTGGACTCCTAGCACTGAGCCTTGTCTCTGGAGCAGGATTTGCTGGTTGTGGGTTTCATGAAGCCGCAGTTGGGAACATTTGGGATTAGGAAACCCAAGCAGGATCTCACTGACCAATGAGGCACCTTACCTGAGTGAGTGTGTGTAGAACAGGACTAGTAGGCCAGGTAGAGAAGGCCTGGGGCTTGCCCAATTCTTGTCATTGATCTGAAGCTGCATGGCTCAAAACCTTTGTACCTTTACGTTCTTTTTCTTTTTTGTATGAACCCAGGGATTGAGCTCAGGCCTCATATTCACTAGGCAAACAGTCTTCACTGAATTACACCTCCAGTCTTCCTCACATACTTTTTCTTTTTTGAAAAAGATTTACTTATTTGCTCTTTAATTTACATGTATTTGTATGAGCCTGGAAGAAAAAAAAAAAAATATATATATATATATATATATATATATATATATGCACATGTGTGTTTAAGTGTGAAAGAAACTTATGTATGCTTGTTGTAATTGTTGTCTCAGAGGCTTACTGCCTCCTTCTGTTACCCTATGTCTAGTCTGGAAGCGTCTAGCCTCCGTACAACCTAACCTAGACCTAGAATGTTTTCAGCCTCTGAGACTTACTGCTTAATAAACTCACCCTTTCTTGTTCTTACTGAGATCTGGGTTGACTGGTTCAACTCAGCTGTTCTGGCTCCAACTCCTCTCCCAGCTGATCTATATAATCTGGCTTTTCTCTGGGTCCCTGAATTGCTCTGCTTGGCTTCAAACTAACTGCAGTGGTCTGCTCTAATCTTCTGGCTCTTTCTTATTCTTTAGCTCATTCTATCTTCACCTGTATCTAGCTTGTTATCTCATTCAGCTTTTCTCTGTAAAACTGCCTGCCTCCCCGCCTTTGTCTCTGCATTGCCCACTAAGTAACTTCCCTTTCCTCTCTCTCTCTCTCGAGAGTTACTCATATCCTATTCTGTCAAGTTTTTCTCTGATTTGGCACCTTTTCTGCCACCCAATTAGGCATCACTTTCAAACATGGGTGCTTTCTTCTACAGATTAACTTTACCTTCATTGTTTGGGATTAAAAGTGTGTACCACCATGCCTGGACCTAAGCCTTTCTTCTTCTGAAACTTTCGCTATACCAAGCTGGCCTGGAACTCAAATCTGCTTGTCTCTGTCTCCTTGTTTAAAGGTGTGTTTGTATTTCAGTGGGACCACACAGACCTAGGAGGTCTTTGGGTGTGATCTTTTGCCAGAGCAGCCATGTTCTGAATGAAAATTCATCTACATGTAGGTGTCCATCCCACCAGATTAGGTGGAACTGAGTTACATGTTGTTACGCCGCCTTGTGGGTGCTGGGAATTGAACCCTGGTCCTCTGAAAGTGTTCTTCATCATTGAGCCATCTCTTCAGCCAGCACCGTGCCCACATTTTCTATTGATTAATTTCCCTCTTTGAATTCTTAATTTTTATCTAGGAGGATTGTTTTCTTAATCTTTGTTGCATGTCTTGCATAAGGTAACTACAGATTTATGAAATGTCCATGGATGCTTAAAATCATCAAAAAGGAAAAGGCCAGCTATTGCTGAGGATGCTACTTGTTGCACTTGCCTACTGTGGGCAAGGGCTTCTGGCTCAGTCCCTCGAACTGGATGGGAGGGGAGAGAAAGGCAGATTGATTTTCCTTTGTTAATTTGGTATAGAGATTTTTTTTTTTGTCTTTTGCTGCAAAGGTATGAGGATATTGTTTCAAAGCACTTGCAAATTGAATGAGATAAAATATTTAATTGGAAAAAGCACTTGAGTAATTCTTCCAGCTTTATATTTTTTGTCTGTTTGTGCCCTAGAATTTAGTGGCATGGTTCTACTGTGTAAAGTCTGTGGGGATGTGGCATCAGGATTCCACTATGGAGTTCATGCTTGTGAAGGCTGTAAGGTAAAGCAAGCTTTTATTTCTTACTACTAATCTAATTCTGGGAGTAAAGAAAGTGGGTTAGGTTTGTGAATGTCCATAGTGTATTTAGAAGGGAGGGAGAAAGCATCTGTTCCTCTTCAGCTTTAACATTCTAATCAAAATAATTTTTCTGTCTCAGTTTAGGTGACTTGGGGTGTGGAGTAGTGCCAGTTCTGTTGCATTCAATTCTAGTCAGCTGCAGACCTTGGTTGTCAGGAAATAGGTGTGAACCACAGAGAGGGACTCCACTGCCTTGTTGGAGCAGTTTATTGTTGTTATTGTTGTTTTAGTACTCTTTTTTGTGTTTTTGAGACAGTCTCAGGTAGTCTAGAACTGACACAGGACTTGCTATCAAGTGCAGTGGAGGATGACTTAATACCTGCTATACAGTGCGGTGGAGGATGACCTAGAACTTGCTGTAGAGTACAGGGAAGATGACCTAGTACTTATGATCCTGCCTTTTTCCATGGGCTGGCATTACAGGCATAGGCACTATGCTTAATAAACCAAGATTTGAGTTGGGTTTTAGTCTGTTCTGTTTGTGCAAGCAGAGAATACCACAGGTGGGGTAATATAGGTTAATTTTCCTCAGAAGTTTGGAGGTTGGGGCCTGCATCTTGAGAGGGCCTTTCTGTTGGAGGATGGAGGGTAGACACAGTGCTCATGCCTAAGAATGTAAGTTGGGGTGTGTATAAGAGTGGGCCTAGCTCTGTTTTTTTTTTTTTTTTTTTTTTGTTGTTGTTGTTGTTTTTGTTTGAGGCAGGGTTTCTCTGTGTAGCCTTAGAATTGTGAAGATATGTAGACTAACCAGGCTGGCCTCAAACTCAGAGATCCACATACCTCTTCTGGATTAAAGGTTGGAGTAGGATGCTTCCAATTTACTTTTTATAACAAACCCATTTTCCTATTAACATTAGCCAGTTCAAGAAAGCAGACACTTGTGACCCACGCAGTGCCATGGTAGTGGGTGTTAAGTTTCTAGAACATGAACTTTGGGAACATATTCACACCATATCAGATCTTACCCTGTTGGGTATTGTGGGCTGGAAATAACTGCTAAGTATTTGCCAAAATGTAGTGTACTAAGAAATACTGCTTGAAGCTGGGTACGCTGGCACATGCCTGTAATCCCAGTGCTCTGGGAGGCAGAGGTTGTGAGTTTGAGGCCAGCCTGGTCCACAAAGTGAGTCCAGGACAGCCAAGGCTACACAGAGAAACAACAAGAAATAATGCTTGAGGCCAGAGGATTGTTGCTGCTAAGCCAGCCTGAGCTACTTAACAAGACCTTATCTCAAACACAGACAACACACACACACACACACACACACACACACACACACACAACCCAAAAATAAATAACTGCAACAAAAAGCAGAATACAGTGATTCACATCATCTTGAATTCAAGCAAAACATACAGGAAAGAGTTAATTTGTAGTGATTGTAACCAGAGCCTTTGGTAGCCTTCATGAGGTACCTCCTTACCTACACTCAGGAATCTCTTAAATCTGACACAACTCTTCCTGTTACAAAGTTAACAAGGTCGAAATGTGTTCTGGCTGTTTTCTCACTGTGGGCTAGAGTAGGAATCCAGTTTGGCAGGATGTGGCAGGGCTAATACGATAAAGAACATTTGTGATGAAAGCTCCAAGGTGAATCTTGGAGCTTTTAATGACTAGTGTTTTCTGTAGTGTAGCTCTTTTCTTTGTCTTAAAGAATTGTGGAAGTAATTTTTTTAAAAGAAAATGTGAAGTATTTTAAAGCTAAGTTTATGCTCACTTAATAACTAGAATGTAAAAGCAGGATCTGAAGGAAATGTATTATATATTCTCTTAAAAAGTATCTTACTATTTTATGTGTATTGCTGTTCTGCCTGTGTGTGTGTCTATGTTTCACTGGTGTGCCTGGTGCCCATGGAGGCTAGCAGAAGGTGTCCGATCCTCTGGAACAAGAGTTACAAATGGTTGTGAGCTGCTGTGTGGGTACTGCTCCTCTGGAAGAGCAGCCGACCTTTTTAACTACTGAGCCATCTACATCACTGTGTTGATAAATGCAAATAATTGATCAGTATCTTGGTTTAAACCTGTTTGAGACAGGTTCTTGTGATGTAGCTCAGGCTGACTTAGACTCAAAATGCACCTCAGCTTTGAAAATTACTGGGATTACTGGTTGAATTACCTTATCATGCTAACGGCACACTTCTGGGGCAGTGTAGCACTGGAAATGAAACCCAAGGTCTCACACAGGTTAGGCAAATACTTTTATTACTGAGCTACCTCCTAGACCCCAGTACCCTCTTTTTGTTTGTCTTTATTTATTTATTTGAATTTATTTACTTATTTATTTTTGAGACATGGTTTCTCTGTGTAGCCCTAGCTGTCCTGTCTCTCTCTATAGACCAGGCTGGCCTTGGAATTCACAGAAAGCTGCCTGCCTTTGTCTCCCAGATGATGGGATTCAAGGCATATGCAGCTGTCACCTACACTCTTAAAAATGTATTTTTTCTTAGCTCTTGCACCATTTAAGACAAGTGTATAGTATCACAATAGTAAAATACGAAAGAGTTATATCTGGTCCATGTTTAATAAAAATGTATCCTGTGTAGAAGTTATAATATTAAGGGGAAATGAAGTTTGAAATGATTTTGTGTTGTTTTTCTTGAGTTTTCTGTTCTTTCAGGGAACACTGAGCTAGGGGTAGATGAAGCCTAGAGCATGTGCTTAATAGTTTGTATAGTCAAAACAGTTGTTTTTCCCTGGATCATTACTGTGCTACTGACATGCAGCTAAGCATATCTGGCATGTCTGCGTAGATTTTGTTGGTGTCAGCAGATGTTGACATTGTTGGAACCAACAATGTTCCAGAAATCATCAAGCTCTGCTATTGTAACATAAGGTTCTAGTGATAGAATTTCAGCTATTAAACTGTCAGCTTTTATGTTTCAAAAGTGTTGAAAGCTGGATTTGGTGGCACATGCTTGTCATCCCAGCATTTGGGAGGTGGAGGTATGAGATTCAGGAGTTCAAGGCCTTCCCATGAACCATGTAGTAGGTTTAAGGCCACCCCGAGCTACTTGAGATCTATCTTAAGAGAAAGAAAGTTTTGGAACTTGCTTTCAAGGTTGAACATGTGACTGCAGCCAAGGTCTAGCAGTAAGAGTTCTTATAAAAAGATGCTTTGGTCTAGCACAAAGAGTCTTCTGCAGGAAGAGGAATTTGTGTGGCTGGTATGTGTTGTATCTACTGATGGATATTAGCAAGGGTCCAGTTAACTTCTGTGTTGAGAGTGTCTTTTTTTGACCTAGGCCTAGCTCCGCATACACCAGTTAGATGTGGGAAAAGTTCCCGTGAGGACTCTACATGGCTGTTGGATGGATAAACCTGCCTTTATTTTAGGGTTTCTTTCGGAGGAGCATTCAGCAAAACATCCAGTACAAGAAGTGCCTGAAGAACGAGAACTGCTCTATCATGAGGATGAACAGGAACCGATGCCAGCAGTGTCGCTTTAAGAAGTGTCTGTCAGTGGGGATGTCGAGAGACGGTACGTTCCCAGTTTAGAGGGTGTTTGTAAAGTGTGAGGTTGTTCATTGAGCTGTCAGCAGTTACCAGGGCCTCTTGCTTTGGTAAGTGCAGATTTCAGAAAGCACATTGTAACATCTTGTGGGTTGAAACTCATGGAGGGATGAGTGCTGTCATTTCAAAGGCAGCTTTGGCATGGCTCCTTTTTATGTTGCTTCTTGTAAATTGACTTTGTTTTTTCTAAATGATTTTAAGTTTTCTTTTTCTGGGGGCGGGGGAAGGATTTGTTTGGATAGAAAAATTGCTCAGTTATTAAAAGTGTTCACTGCTCTTGCAGAGAATCCAGGTTCAGCTACCAGCATTCACATGGTGACTTCACAACTGCCTGTGACTCCAGGGAACTTGATGCTCTCGCTGGCATCTGTGGCATTACATGCACATGCTGTTCTTATATATATGCAGCCAAAACATTGATACACATAAAAATAATGTGTATTTATTTTATATTATATTATGTAGCCATAGTTGGCCTGGAATTCTATGTAGCCCAAGCTGGGACTTAAGACCGGCACCATTGCATCTGACCTTAATTTTTTTTTTTTTTTGACTTTGTATACTTGGCCCCTCAGTATTACTGAGGAGCCCATTTCTTATTTATTTATTTAGATTTATTTCTTTTAAAGGAATGAGCTTTTGCCTGCGTGTATGTATGTGTACCATGTGGGCACCTAGTGCTCCAAGGTGGCGTCAGATTCCTGGGAACTGAAGTTCTAGAGGATCGTGAGCCACTATGGGTGATGGGATGTGAACCTAGGTCCCATATAAGAACGAGAGCTCTTAACTGCTGAGCTACCCTTCTAGTCCCTTATATATGTATTTTTACATCATATTTATTCTGTGCATATATGTGGGCCTGTGTGTAGCCTGGCATGCATGTGGATGTCAGAGACAACCTTTGGGAGTTAGTTCTTTGTGTGGATCTGCAGGGATCAGACTTGGGTAATCAGCTTGGGTTCAAGTGAACTGTCTTAGTCTTTTAAAAAATCTTTTTGAGGCAGGGTCTCACTGTGTAGCCCTGGTTGGCCTGGAGCTCACAGAAATTGTTCAGAGTGCCTTGTGGTGTGCCTGGCTTTAGTAAGGTGCTGGTGTGCTTTACATTGCACTTCTCATTACTTATTTTCATGTTTCTTGGATTTTTACATAGGAAACACCCAAGAAATACATGTACTTCTTAGCCTTGTTTTGGGAAGTTTTCTCTTCTTTCCCACTTACTTTACTGAATCAAGACCAAGCTTAGAAAAACTTAGGCCAAGGACATATATGTATTCTTGACTTACATGATGAGGTAATTTTGTGTCATTCTTTTGTACAAATAGAGCTTATTAGACTATAGACACTATCTTTTTTTTTTTTTTTAATAGCTGTTCGATTTGGCCGGATTCCTAAACGTGAAAAACAGAGAATGCTAATTGAAATGCAAAGTGCAATGAAGACCATGATGAACACCCAGTTCAGTGGCCACCTGCAGAATGACACCTTAGTGGAACATCATGAACAGTCAGCACTACCAGCTCAGGAACAGCTGCGGCCCAAGCCCCAGCTGGAGCAAGAAAACATCAAAAGCTCTCCTCCGTCCTCTTCTGATTTTGCAAAGGAGGAAGTGATTGGCATGGTGACCAGAGCCCACAAGGATACCTTTCTGTATAATCAAGAGCACCGAGAAAACTCATCTGACAGCATGCCACTCCAGAGAGGAGACCGGATCCCCAGGAACGTGGAGCAATATAACTTAAATCATGACCGTTGTGGCAGTGGGCTTCACAGCCACTTTCCCTGTAGTGAGAGCCAGCAGCATCTCAGTGGACAGTACAAAGGGAGGAACATGATACATTACCCACATGGGCATGCTGTTTGTATTGCAAATGGACACTGTGTGAACTTCTCCAGTGCTTACACTCACAGAGTCTGTGATAGAGTTCCAGTAGATGGAAGTTCTCAGAATGAGAACAGGAATAGTTACCTGTGCAACACTGGAGGGAGGATGCATCTGGTATAGTGAAATCGATTCTTTGCTCGCCTTGTGTCAAGGAAAGCTTGGAAGGTTTTCTTTTTTTTTGGGGGGGGGGGGTGCTGAGTTGGTGGGTCAGAAAGCCCAAGAGATTTCTAGAAGTTTCTTTGTGTAGTATTTTTAGTTAACTATTAATGAGCAATGCTTGTGGAATAACTTAATTTTATACAGCAATAGGTACAAATTTGTTCTTTAATTGCTACTGTGGGGTTAAGATTTGTATAAAATACGATTCACATACAATTGATCGTATAATTCTTGGAAATCTCTTTGGAAATTGAGGTGTTCTGATCAGTTAGTACTTTGCAAGCTTTAGGGTTGATCTTTTAGCTTCTTTGATTGCTATGAAGAGAAGTTTTGATGCTCTATGTGGGGACAGTCTTGCTTTGTTGCCCAGTCTAGCTTTCGGCACCTGGGTTCAAGTGGTCTTGTGCATCATTGGGACTTGAGGGTACACTAATGCCTAGCAGAAAGGCTTGGCTAGCCATTATGGTGTAGAAAGAGCTCTGGAGCTTTGGAGATAACTCTGTAACAGCTCTGGCTGTCCTAGAACTCTCTTTGAAGACTAGGCTGGCCTAGAAATCACAGAGATCCATCTGCCCCTGCTTCCCGAGTGCTGGGATTAAAGGCATGCACCACTGTGCCCAGGTAGAGATAGATAATTTATGGTGTGAGAGATAAGAAATTAAAAAAATTTTTTTTTTCAAGACAGTTTCTCTGTGCAGCCCTGGCTGTCCAGGTTTTGCTCTGTAGACCAGGCTAGCCTTGAATTTAGAGATCCATCTGCCTCCTGAATGCTGGAAAAAATACTTTAATAGCTTAATTTTTAAGACTTTATCCTGAGATAAGTTAATATTTATATCATTCAAATTCAACATTCTACACAAAAATACAGTGTTTATGGTCAGCCAAAATTTCATCAAAACAGCAGTACTACGTATGCATTTCCCATTCAAACCGTGAGGTGCTTTGATAATGCTTATTCTCAACTGCCAGGTAATTAAAGCTACATATACTTTTCTCATCTTAAAATTAGTTGACTGTACTCCAGTCTTTGTGTTCAGCTCTCCTTTGTCTCTTGTCTGAGGGTGTTCTAAAAGGCACCTTAACCCTGGGGGCTTGGGTCCTGGTCCTTAAGGTGCTAAGTAAGGCTCTTTTTTTGGTCACTTTCAGTTCTCTAGACTTAGGAATTCTCTCGTTCTTGAGTTCCTCTAGATTTAAAAGAAATTTTGACTAGTTTTACTAATAGACTATATGGCACTTGCTTTATATCATTGTCATGTTCCTACAATTTGCTTGGCTTCCTTAGGTCATGTTTAGAAGCTGTACCTCAGCCCCATGGTCAGTTTCCTAGTTGCACAGGTGAAGGTCCCTGCTCACACCATTGTTAACGAGATAAAGGACCAGCAGTAGTCCTCTTCAATTAAGGCACAATATACTGCCTTTTAGAACTTGTAGTGATTTATTTACTGAGAAATAAACGAGCTCTGAAATAGGAGGTAAGTAGAGGTTTGTGCCTTCACTTTGTGTTTGGATGGGACGGTGAGCCTTTCAGAGGTACATGCACTCCTCCAAGGAAAGGTAATTATGGAGGACTGAGCTGCAGCTTTGTGCTGGAGCCCTTGCTTAGCTGTGCCAAGACTCGGAATTTCATCTACTGGCAGAGAAAAAAAGACTCTTGGGTGACTGTGATTGGCCATAATAACCAGGGTGAGAAACAGATGCGAAGATTTTTCTCAAAACCCAAAGCACTGCACACATGTGTGAGGTGGCAGCACTGTCTCAAAGTTAACTTAGCTGCTTTACACCTGGGCTATTTTTACATTAGGCCCAAAGCTGCTTAAATAGAGTTGCCATGAGGGCTTTAAAGCATGTTGGAGACAGGGTACCCTGTAGTCATAGCTGCCCGGGAGCTCATAGAGATCTGCGCCTCCCTCTGCATCCCTAGTACTGCTCCTAGCTTTACAAGGCTTTTTAAAAGGAAGACATAGGTGATTTCTATTTTATCTTAAAATTTTTATTCTTGTCTTTTGTTGTTGTTGTTTTGAGATAGGGTCTTGCTCTGTACTTCTGGTTGGCCTTAAACTCAATGTGTGTTCCAGCTGGCCTCGAATTCAGAGGTCCTCATTCCTTTGCTTCCCTTGTGTTGGGATTAAGCTCATGTGCCACCACATCTGGCTACTTTTATTTTAATGATGTATATGTCTTGAGTGTGGCTATGTGCACATGTATAGAAGTGTTAGAGGAGGCCAGAGGTGTTAGATCCCCTGAAATTTCAGTTAATAGGCAGTAGTGAGCCTATTAGTAGTGTTAGAAACTGAATTTGGGTCTTTTGCAAGAACAGTATTTATTCTTTATTGCCAAGCTATCTCCTTAGCCTGAATATGTGATTTGTAGTGCCTCCATTTTGAGATATTTACTCACCTGTCGTTGGTTAGGAGTCACACATTTTCTTACATACATTGAGATATGTAACTGTATTGACTATTGTGACGCTTCCTGTGTTGAGGTAAGATGCACACAGAGGAAGGGTTAATGGAAGACCTTGATTGAGTTAGGGAGTTATTTCCTGTTGAAATTTCTTATGATTGCTATGACACTTTTGGATTCTTTGTCACCTCTCACAATTTAAAATTTTTTTTTATTTCCTTTAAATTAGGTTTGTCCTATGAGCAAGTCTCCATATGTGGATCCTCAGAAGTCTGGGCATGAAATCTGGGAAGAATTTTCCATGAGTTTTACGCCAGCAGTAAAAGAAGTGGTGGAATTCGCAAAACGTATTCCTGGGTTCCGAGATCTGTCTCAGCACGATCAGGTCAACCTTTTAAAAGCTGGGACTTTTGAGGTAGGTTTTATTTATCATGAATGTTGATAAAAAAAGCCCATGTAGTTAATTTTTTTTTTCCTTTCCTAAATAAATGTTTATAATTCGGAGTCTCAAAGTGAGAAAACAATAACTCTCATAGGGCTCTGAGAAGGTGGAGGTACATTGAGCTACTTGGGACTGGAAGTGTTGGACTGTTTCAAGTTCTGGTGGTGGTTTCAGGTGGAGACTTACTGGTTGCTTAGTGTTAGACACTTAAAAGCTGAATCTTGCGTTCACTATGTTCAAATAAAAAGGAGAGTGGGTTGGGATTGATGGTGCATGCATTCCTTTAGACCCAGCTTTTGGGAGGTAGAGGCAGGTGGATCTGTGAGTTAGAGGCAAGACAGGGCTGCGTAGTGAGATCCTATGTCTACAAAACAAACTAACAAAAAATAAATACCCCAGGAACCCAAGAAAGGACACTGGAATATGGTTTTTACTTTTAAGAGATTGTAGACTATTTAGGGACTCAGCAGACATAGTTCTGTGCTGCTCAGATTCCTTGACTGCTTGTTCTCAGACACTGTTTTTGAGACAGGGTCTTTCTTCAGATTCCTTGTCTCAAGTCTGCCCTGAGTGATAGTCAGAGGAGTGCAGCCATGCCCCCTGCCATTGCTTTTTTTCTTTTTCCATTCCAGCTTCTCTAGCACAGATGCTTTGTGCCTGTGCTTAGATTGCTGTGGCTGTATTGTATAGGTAGCCTGGCCAACTGGTAGCCTTGCAGTGGTGACTTGGATTGAGGTCACTTACACAGAGCTCTGAAATTTGAGGGGACAATAAGAAGTAAATATACAGTGGGCTAGACCTTTGAACTAAACAGTGTGAGAAGGAAACCTCTGTTGAGTCCTATAAAATTAAGCTATCAGGTACTCTTGCTGTTAAGTGCTGGCCTGCATGGAATGTAGCTGGATGGAGCAACCTCTAGTGTTAGCTCACTCTGCTAGGTCTCATTTATTTTTTTTCTTACCCCAGTTTTCACATGTGTCACAGAAGCTTCTGTCTCAGGTTCTGCTTCCCGAACTACCTAGACTAGAACAGAGAAGCAGTGTTTTGATAATAGAGCATCCATAGAGTAATCAAGCAACAACACATATTGAGCCTTTTAGTTTATGGGAATACAGTGAGACTTGGTGCCACGGACCGGCCCAGTCGGGCTCCCGGCGTCCGCGGGAGAACAAGGCTTTGGACAGGAAGACACGGTTTTGGCAATGAATTGACAGACAGAGACCAGTGAGGCTTTGGAATCTGCTGCAATTTTACTGAAGTCAAGCTGATAATTTTATAGTGATCTCATAAGGAAGCACCTTAAAGTTGGCATGCTTTCCAGAACATTCAAACTTTTACCAAGGATACAAAGTTTATGTTTTAACTTGAAAGTGTAGCCAAGTGTAAAGCAGTGCCTACAAGAAATCTCAGCCTAGAAACTTTCTGATCAACACAAACAAGAAACAAAAACCTCAAACTGTGGTTTCATTATCACTGACTATTGAAGGGGAAAGCAGGAGCTGTAATAGTCCTCCGAGCCAAGTCAAATACCTGCCAAAGTCTTTTTCTACATTAAAGTCTAAATACACCTTAGTCAACCATCCTCCCATATGTCTTGCTAAAGATTTATAATCTTCCTTAGAAACAAGACGCTAAAGGAAGGCATGCTCAAGCCTGCTGTACTTGCTTATGCTATTTTTTCTTAAGAAGGAGCCCATTATTTCTTTTTCTATTCTTATAATGCTTTCTAATACTAAATCTAATTCATTACTTCTTTTTCTTTTACTCTATTCTTGCTAAAGCTTTTACTAATCTATCAAAAATATATTTCCTTGAATAGTTAGTTGTGATGTACCAGGAATCATAGAGAAAAATCAAAAGGCTCATTCAATCCTTCATCTGAAAAAGCAGGATTTTCAGAGTACATCTTTTTGGTGTAGATGGCCAGGGGGGACATCCAGGGACTTCCAGGGAGCGTATTCCCGTAGGAAACGTGTCTCCTCGTCTTAGCAGCATAATTTTATGCTTATATAGCACATTTTTATGCTCATATAGACTCTGGAGTTAGTGTGGCAACTTGGGTTTTCAGGTCAGAAGGAAGTCAGAAGGTCAGAAGGATGTGGTTGATGTAGTCCACTTGTTTGGAGAGAGAAAATATTGGCCTAGAGAAGTGAAGAGGCTCTTTTTTGGGTGCCTAGGATTTCAACACAAGTCCTGGACTTCAAGATTTATGTTCTTTCCACCCTGTGACTATGCTTCAAAGTAATTAGCACCATTATCAGAGGAGATTCACTTCCTTTTGGGTTGTCTGGGCAGTCCATTTTGCTTGGGGTGTTGCAGAAGAAAGGTGTTGCCTGTGGATCTTCTGATGTAAGAGAGGCAGATAGGCCGCCTCACTATCACAGACAGTGGGATGGGGGATGCTGCAGTCCTGTGATACAGTTTTTGATTGACTTTGACTGAATAGCAGTTTGTTGCTGTGATGGCTGTCTTTAGGTGTAGACTAAGACACTGGGTCTCCTGTGGTCTAAGTAGGGCTGTGTGCTGTGTTTCCCTTGGCTGCTTTTGATGTTTTAAGGGTTCCCAGTGTTGCTCTGTTGAAACAGAACTTCTCTAAGGGTATAGACACCTGAAAAAAATGCTTTGAACCCTGGAGAGTTTCCTGAATGCCTTTAGTCAGGCTCCATTTTTAAACAAAGTGACATCACTGCTCAAATTTGCATTTCTGAATCTTTGCTTATAGGATTTAAGAGTCTTTTAGCATCTTGTCATTGCTGACTGGATTTTTTTGATGTTGGGATGTTTATTACATCCATACAAAATTTGCCTTAAAGTGGTTTCAGATATAAATTTTGTTTCTTAACTGACTTGAATAGTTACATTTTAGTTTTCTTTATGAACTTCTTCAAACATACTTGATTTTTCTGCCTTCTAGGTTCTGATGGTACGGTTTGCCTCATTATTTGATGCTAAGGAGCGGACTGTCACCTTTCTGAGTGGGAAGAAGTACAGTGTGGATGACCTGCACTCCATGGGAGCAGGGGATCTGCTCAGCTCTATGTTTGAATTCAGTGAGAAGCTGAATGCCCTCCAGCTCAGTGATGAAGAAATGAGCTTGTTCACAGCAGTTGTTTTGGTGTCTGCAGGTAAGCATGTTGGCTCAAAATCTGGTTCTTCTTTCAGTTAGTGACTGATAATTTCATCCTTTTGTCCCTCAGCTTCTACATCCTGTTAGAGAAAAGGGTTGCCCCATGTGAACCTAGTATGGGTTTTTTTTTTTTTTTTTTTT